TAGTCTTCGTTAACATCGAATGAAGCGAGTTCGCTCTAACCTTTGCTATTGTCCGCTTTTGCACCCACATCCCTAACTGGTGTGGGGTAATGGTTTCTCTCGAATAGGTGCATACAAGAAAATGCAGAGCTATCGGCGGTCTCGAAATCCACTTGTTTATGAAGTGTAAGCGCATTCAGTGGCTTCAAACTTACTAGGCTTTGCGTTTCTGCTTGCTGTTTTTGGTTTACTCGCTTTCGGTTATGGATGTACCTTTTGTCTTTTGTACGTGTTGCGTAGTTGTTGTGGACGCCTCTAAACATTTAAGAGTTCATCCACAGGCACAAATATGATCACTATTGATTTTCTGGTGTCCTGATTCTGACGTTCAAGTTAATCATTTGTGGAGCATGGGGTCTGCTCTTCTACTCAAAATAACTCGCTTTACATCCTGGTTATTTAGCGCTTGCAAGCGCTGTGCACACGTTTTTCTACAGCTTGCTATTCTCATCCACTTCTATAGCGTTATGGATTCAGAAAAAGAGGAGTACGAAATGAATCTTCGAATGCGAGCTAACGGTGGTGACAGTAGTGGCGGTGGTTTCCAGCAACCATCGGTATTACCACCCCAACCACCGCCTTACATGACCTATCCTTTCTATGGGAACTTAGGCTCACAATGTCCCAATGGAACTGATCCCATCAATCAAGCGTCCTGTGCTCCAGATTTCTTCTCCAATTACAGTCCCCAAACCGAACCCAGGGGCATATGCGATCTTTGTGGATATGTAGAAGAGTGAGTCCCTTTTCTTTATGACGTTTTGGTATGGTTTCGCTCCACTCAAGCTTGATGAACGTTTGTGAATTTTAAGCTGTAAAGTTACTTCTATTTCATTTTAATTTTGAGCTAGGAATAAAGGCTATGTGTATGTTTGTGCTTAACCGAGTAGAGTAGTCTTTCATTTTAATTAAATAGTTAAATTCCTGAGTTGTGCGATCTACATTTTTCAAAAGAAATGCCTTGTCTAAATCGGTTTCAAGGCTGTTCAAATTCGTTTTGTTTCTCTTGTGGCAGCCTTTTCTTGCATTCTTAAGTCCGCCAGTCTGCTTTCGAGTTCAATTGACACCCAATTTTTAGTGACCTTTAATCGAAAATATGTCTCGTTTTCCTTCGAGCATCTTTCCATTTACATTTTGCGGTTTCGTTCCTGCACTGGTAGTTGTAGCGAGGAATTGTTGGATGTAGCCAGGCTTGTGACGGGATAGGAATGCGTCTGTCACAGGGAAAAATTCTAATATTCTTCACGCTGTAACATTTTTTACTCAAGGACGACTTTAATGTGATCCAGTAAATATTGAGTTAAAAATTGATATTTTACACTGTTTGGAGATTTTTTGGCTCAAGATTTTGCTTATTAATTAATGATTAACGTAAATTCAAAATTTGATTTTTCACCATAAAGATGAATGTAGCACGACCCTATTTCGCTATTAATCAAGCTCTAAATAAAGTGCTTCAATAATAGCACCCCCTCTGTGAATGAGTCTTAGTGTCTTACTATTTCAAATTCATCTTTCCACTTATTTCATCACTCGATGGAATACGACGTAGAGGTAGGAGGCGGGTTTACATCCATAATTGCATATTGTATTACCA